GACCGGTGATATACAACTGTCACTATCAGCCGGGGGAGGAAGTGTGCGGGAGAGAGCAAGGGAGACTGATAGTGATACCATACAGTGTCTGGGTGTGATAGCGGTCCTAGCACATCAACCAACACTATATAGCAGCTACATTGTACAACGACACTGAGCTGCTAAGTGTAGTTACATGTGCTGTGTAAGTGTAAGTGTATAACAGTCACTATCAGCCGGGGGAGGAAGTGTGCGGGAGAGAGCAAGGGAGACTGATAGTGATACCATACAGTGTCTGGGTGTGATGGAGGTCCTAGCACATCAACCAACACTATATAACAGCTACATTGTACAAAGACACTGAGCTGCTAAGTGTAGTTACATGTGCTGTGTGATATATAACAGTCACTATCAGCCGGGGGAGGAAGTGTGCGGGAGAGAGCAAGGGAGACTGATAGTGATACCATACAGTGTGTCTGGGTGTGATAGCGGTCCTAGCACATCAACCAACACTATATAGCAGCTACATTGTACAACGACACTGAGCTGCTAAGTGTAGTTACATGTGCTGTGTAAGTGTAAGTGTATAACAGTCACTATCAGCCGGGGGAGGAAGTGTGCGGGAGAGAGCAAGGGAGACTGATAGTGATACCATACAGTGTCTGGGTGTGATGGAGGTCCTAGCACATCAACCAACACTATATAACAGCTACATTGTACAAAGACACTGAGCTGCTAAGTGTAGTTACATGTGCTGTGTGATATATAACAGTCACTATCAGCCGGGGGAGGAAGTGTGCGGGAGAGAGCAAGGGAGACTGATAGTGATACCATACAGTGTGTCTGGGTGTGATAGCGGTCCTAGCACATCAACCAACACTATATAGCAGCTACATTGTACAACGACACTGAGCTGTTAAGTGTAGTTACATGTGCTGTGTGATATATAACAGTCACTATCAGCCGGGGGAGGAAGTGTGCGGGAGAGAGCAAGGGAGACTGATAGTGATACCATACAGTGTCTGGGTGTGATAGCGGTCCTAGCACATCAACCAACACTATATAGCAGCTACATTGTACAACGACACTGAGCTGCTAAGTGTAGTTACATGTGCTGTGTGATATATAACAGTCACTATCAGCCGGGGGAGGAAGTGTGCGGGAGAGAGCAAGGGAGACTGATAGTGATACCATACAGTGTCTGGGTGTGATAGCGGTCCTAGCACATCAACCAACACTATATAGCAGCTACATTGTACAACGACACTGAGCTGCTAAGTGTAGTTACATGTGCTGTGTGATATATAACAGTCACTATCAGCCGGGGGAGGAAGTGTGCGGGAGAGAGCAAGGGAGACTGATGGTGATACCATACAGTGTCTGGGTTTGATAGCGGTCCTAGCACATCAACCAACACTATATAGCAGCTACATTGTTTGTACAACGACACTGAGCTGCTAAGTGTAGTTACATGTGCTGTGTGATATATAACAGTCACTATCAGCCGGGGGAGGAAGTGTGCGGGAGAGAGCAAGGGAGACTGATAGTGATACCATACAGTGTCTGGGTGTGATAGCGGTCCTAGCACATCAACCAACACTATATAGCAGCTACATTGTACAACGACACTGAGCTGCTAAGTGTAGTTACATGTGCTGTGTGATATATAACAGTCACTATCAGCCGGGGGAGGAAGTGTGCGGGAGAGAGCAAGGGAGACTGATAGTGATACCATACAGTGTCTGGGTGTGATAGCGGTCCTAGCACATCAACCAACACTATATAGCAGCTACATTGTACAACGACACTGAGCTGCTAAGTGTAGTTACATGTGCTGTGTGATATATAACAGTCACTATCAGCCGGGGGAGGAAGTGTGCGGGAGAGAGCAAGGGAGACTGATGGTGATACCATACAGTGTCTGGGTGTGATAGCGGTCCTAGCACATCAACCAACACTATATAGCAGCTACATTGTACAACGACACTGAGCTGTTAAGTGTAGTTACATGTGCTGTGTGATATATAACAGTCACTATCAGCCGGGGGAGGAAGTGTGCGGGAGAGAGCAAGGGAGACTGATAGTGATACCATACAGTGTCTGGGTGTGATAGCGGTCCTAGCACATCAACCAACACTATATAGCAGCTACATTGTACAACGACACTGAGCTGCTAAGTGTAGTTACATGTGCTGTGTGATATATAACAGTCACTATCGGCCGGGGGAGGAAGTGTGCGGGAGAGAGCAAGGGAGACTGATAGTGATACCATACAGTGTCTGGGTGTGATGGAGGTCCTAGCACATCAACCAACACTATATAGCAGCTACATTGTACAACGACACTGAGCTGCTAAGTGTAGTTACATGTGCTGTGTGATATATAACAGTCACTATCAGCCGGGGGAGGAAGTGTGCGGGAGAGAGCAAGGGAGACTGATAGTGATACCATACAGTGTGTCTGGGTGTGATAGCGGTCCTAGCACATCAACCAACACTATATAACAGCTACATTGTACAACGACACTGAGCTGCTAAGTGTAGTTACATGTGCTGTGTGATATATAACAGTCACTATCAGCCGGGGGAGGAAGTGTGCGGGAGAGAGCAAGGGAGACTGATAGTGATACCATACAGTGTATGGGTGTGATAGCAGTCCTAGCACATCAACCATCACTATATAACAGCTACATTGTACAACGACACTGAGCTGCTAAGTGTAGTTACATGTGCTGTGTGATATACAACAGTCACTATCAGCCGGGGGAGGAAGTGTGCGGGAGAGAGCAAGGGAGACTGATAGTGATTGATACCATACAGTGTCTGGGTGTGATGGAGGTCCTAGCACATCAACCAACACTATATAACAGCTACATTACACCAACCAACACCGGAACTCAACATACAGAGCACAAGTGTTAACTTACAGTAATCTACTATATTTTGTAAGTTATGTATAGTTAGCCCTGATATCATGGAACAGTAATACAGCCAACATATGTCTACATATCACATTTATGGATGTTACATTTGACATTTTATTTAATCGTTCAGGCAATTTTTGAGAATAATTGCACACAGAATTAGTGGTAAATAAGATAATAAATTTTACAGAATTTAAACGCTGTAGCTCAAGCAGTTAGGGAGTTATGAATGTTTCTGTAAAAATCACATAGAAACAGATAGACCGAAAATATAATGAGATAGGACACATGGTGTACAAAATTTTTTGTTTCTTTTGGCATGCTGAATAACGTGACAAAGTTTGTTCGTATGGTTGCAAGACACCCTGTATATTTATTCGATTTAGATAGAAGAAGCCAAGATTAATAAGAATGGTAAGTAGAACTCGCTAACGCAGGTACCCTACTCCAGATTCACGGAATGATTTATGGAATATAGACATGTTATTCGCGTAAGTTTTCAAAAACTTATTATGAAACTCCGGCGGATAATGGTTGTTTACTCTATGATGGAAGTAACTAAAGCACCAGTATTCAGTTTTTATTGCTATTTCCAATAGATGTATATCTTCTGCCTATCGTACAACTAGTTTCCATTTTAAATTTCGGAGTTTCTCATAAGTAAATAAATAGTTTATTTGTCACGAATAAACACAATGTACGAGTATAAAAATTCCTGAGCCAATCACAAATTATAATGTACTCAATCTACGCAAAGGTAATATTAATAATGTTGACATTGAGGTGTGATTCGTCAGCACACATTATGAGAGACATCTCAGGGGTCATTCATTAATGTCCTGAATCAAACGTCCTCGTCATAACAAAGGTCTATAATCTTCAAAGTTTCGTTCTGTGTTCATCTATCTATTACACGACACTGTTTTAAACTTAAAGTCGAAACTGGAATATTCAGATATAAATACTATCAACCTGTGTTTTAGTTTAAATACACGACGAATTAGGCAATTTAATCAATTTTTAATCACGATTTGATATCCTATTTTCAAGAAATATAGCTTGAAAATCTTTGAAGGCAATGTGTTAAATTAGGATTATAGAAGCATAACCCGTCCCCCAAATAACTTTTACAAATTCGTGCTACTCAGCAAACGTCCCTTATAATCTTGTTACATTTACTCCCTTCTACCAATGAATACAGACCTTATAAGAAGCGCAACGCCCATGTTAAATATTCAGCCTAGAAATATTTGAAATTGGCAAACTTAGCGCGGCAGCCGCTAGGAAGCGAGAGCGCCACTGTCGCCGGCGCGGTAGGTGTGAGTGAGACAGAGAATGTGATGGGGTGGATGGGGGGACGGCGCGGCCGAACCTGGGCCGAACAGAGATAGAGAGACAGAGACAAAATCGCTTCTTGCCCATGACTGAGTTAGCCGCGCGTGGACCGGGCGTCTACTTATGGTCAAATCGGTGACACTCGTGTTATGTTTAAAAAAAAAAACACACACATATATATAAACTAGCTGGCCGAGATATATATACACATTCATACGGAGGTAATTTTCATATTGATTAGCAATAAACCTATATACATGTTTAAACTATGACGCCTGAAAATAAGTGCTAGAAGAAATTTGTTTCACTAAAACCATAAGATAAATGTTAAGCCCTAAATACCAAAAATTAACCACTGTTGATATAGCTGTTTTATTGTTTTGCAAAAATGCAAATTCAACCCAAAATAATAATTTAAAATCAGTAAAAGTACATGATTACTTTATCATTAATCATAGCATTGCTGTAAATGTTATGTGTATAATAAAAACCCCCCACACTTAACACGCAATAGTTTGCCCCCCCCCGTCGCACCTTCATACCCAGCAAATTTCTTAACGAAATCTCGTGGAGATAACCAACCACTAAATTAAAACATGGTTCTTCATTTTACCACTGTATGTGAAATAAATATTGTCAGATGACTTTAGGGCTGATTATGTAGGTTTGCTACGACGCGCGACGGGGATATTTCATGTAAACATAGCGTTATTTTAACCAATGTAACAAAGAATGGCTGGTAATATTGGAAGGAAAAATATACAAGATATTTCTGAAATAAGTTTTAATTTTGGACAAACTCCAAATAAAAACAAATAAGTTTGCAATATTATAAAACTAGAACTAAAGGCACTCATATATTACAATTCTATTTACAAAACTTGGATTTCACAGTGATGCTTCTTTTCCACCCTCATTGTAAGATTCTTGCAACTGAAAAACAAATATATATATAAATATATATTTATACTGGATTTCCACAAAAAACATGTTATACATAATAAACATACAAGTATAACTCAGCTGATACGTAATTACATGTTTTTAAAACCATGTCAAACCCAAAATTGTTTATAATTTTAGCTGTTTATTAAACAAAAATATTCTTCGAACCTCATGCCTGCCATTTACAAAAATGTTTACTGAATCAATTAGGCTAGTAGCCTATATTTGTTTGTCAACTATACATTTTGATTTAAAACTAAACAATGTGAAGTAAACATTACTTTTTTACAAAATGGAAACCCTTTAACCGTTTTTATTGTGCGCAACTATTGAATAAAACAACCTTAAATAATTATAATAATTGGTCGGAAACAGCAAAGTAATGATTTAATTTTATAGTAAACGTTGCCATTAAAATATGGAATGACTTGGTTACTATACAACATTTACGTTAATAAACAAATATAGCTTCATTGTGTACAATTAATTTACTATAAAAATTTACAATAAAATAACCTAATTACTTTTTTTGTGTTATGCCACCTGAAGAGAGTACCTTTAATGAATAACTATCAACTTATTTCTAAAACTTAAGGACAAGCAAAACCATAATTTGAATTACCTTTTAAAGATGATTTAACTTTTTCAGTTTCTGGTTAAGTTTTCCTCCATCTATTGCTCGTCTCTTCAGGAGTGCTTGGTCTCTCAAGTCGTTTGTCTTCCATTTAACACAGTTAAACAGTTTGCATTTAACCAGCATTTTCAATAAGTATAGCTTGTGTTCCTTACAGGACAACCACCATTCTGCACAACAACGTTTTTCCGTTTCTTTATAAATATCACCTACTAGCTTTTCACTAAGGTTATCTGACGACCAAATCTGTGGAAACAACATGGCAAAAGTCAGACTTTGGAATTTGACAACTTTGTGAAAGATATCAGATGGTTTACAAAGTTTAGCTAGACTTCCGTCGTGCTTCGTAAATGTTTTGAAATGGATCAGTTGTTCCCGGTTGAGGTCCAAGGTTTCTGTGCTTTTGAGCAACGTTGATTCACAATCAGTGCAAGAATATTGGTCTAAGCATTTTTTCCCTAACCATCCCGCTATGTAGCAAATCACATTATCTTCAAGGCCAGATACGTCGAGGGTGGTGATTGTGTCCTCCTCTGTCACTGCTGCTGTTAACAAGTGTTCAGTTTCAACATTCATACGCTCTTCTAAGTTGTTGTCTGTAACCATGTTAGTCTTATCAGAGTTCTCTTTGTTCATGTCCTCAGATTCAGGTATTTTAAAACTGGCTTCAGAGTTTTCTACAACTTCCTCTCCAAAAACCAATGTGTCATCACAATCAGGCTCACAGTTGGCGGATGACGGTGGATCCATTAATCTGATCGACATAGAGTGTTGTAAATTCCTCCTGAATTCTTTGGCTGAGGGGTTGGAACTGTAGCCAGACCGTCTTCTCAGGACACCAAATAAGTTTTCTAATGGGTCCTGATTTAATCGTCCAGTTAACAGAAAACTCTCGTCATCTGTGAAAACTTCGTTGAACAACGATAACACTCCATGTAGCGTTTGTTTTAAACCATCAAAGCACGGTGGTGGAGGTGACCCAACAACCGACCACGATGCAATATATGGTATTGCGTCTTCTAAACATTTGATTACGTTGGAATTTTCCTTTTTAAGAGGCCGTTTTAAAGGATTCTTGTCATCCAGATGCTTACTGTTCATACAGTCGGTTATGTCATTGAGTCTTCCTAAAAACTCAGCGGTACTCAAACAAGCTGGGTCTTTTAGTAAACCTAGATGGTGGGCAGCTTTCATGCCCCTCGATACTGACGCACTGAAAACCTGTGTAGCAAGCTTTACATTCATTTTTTGAAATGCCTGAGGATTAAGATGTCTCTCCGAGAGCTTGGGGGCTGCTCTACAATCTGACATAGAATGTTTGTCATGTTCGTGAAACTCACGAATTGCATTCCACGATACAACCTCATTATTTACCATGAAATTGTGTTTCAAAAGATTATTTCTCACACACTTCAACAAGTGAGGGTAGTCGAACAAACAAAAGATCTTGTTAGTGCCAAAATGATAAAAAGGATTGTCTTTTGACACCCCCAATAGTTTCATCGCTGCAGCATTAGTTGAACCAAGATCCGAGACAACCACTTTTAATGAAAATGTAGCTTTTGTTATTTTTTCAATTACAATGTCGAGAAGTATAGCGAGTGAGGTTGCCTTTATAGAGTTATGGGAAACCACATATGCAATTGGGCATTTCCATGAATATTTCAGACCTCTTATCATAAAGACGAGGGCATGGGTAGCAACTTTATCAGATCTGCCCAGGGGACCTAGGTCTTCAAAACCCTCGACAACATCGAATTTCGAGTTATACTCTAAAGCTTTCTTAATACTCATTTCGTCGCACATGAGCACACACTGTCTTTCCTCTGGAGTCATTAATGATGCCTTTAACTTTAATTTCTCAAACACTTCGTCAGTAAATCCAGGCTTTATGTTGTGGACATTAACCCAATATTGGATTACTCTTATACATGGCATTTTAAAACCTCGGTCGAGGAGGAAACGATACATCGAAGGGGATTTATAATACATAGACAGAGACCAATTCTTTTCTTCCTCGTTCCATTTCTGTCTTCTCTGGTGTCTGATTTGCATTTTTACAAATGTAAATGGGTCTCCACTTAAGACTGACGATAAATACTGCAAAATAGCGTCTTCGTCCAATTTAGGTGGATTATTTCTTCTTTTTCTAATGAAGGAATATTTGTTTCTACTTGTTTTGAGCATTACCTTTTGTCTGCTGATTGTTTTCATGAGTTTCCTCTTCCTTGGTGTTGGACTCATATCAATATTGTTGTTAGTCCCTCCCGTTTTATTTCGCTGAACTTCATCATCCGGTAAAGGTTGGAAATCCTTTTCAAAATCATTGAAGGTTTCTTCAGAATTTGATATTAGTACATCGGGAGTACGTGTCTTGGTTGCTGATGGGCCATCATTGTTAGGATCTTCCTCGGGGCTGCTTGGGCAAAGATTAATTTCCCAATGCTTTACGGGAATCGCTAAAGGGTTGTTTTGCAATAACCTTTTTCTTGATGAATTTGTAAATGCCGAATCTTTGAAGTGGTTAGAACATAAATATCTTGATCTCAATTGGTTGTCCAGCAGTTCACAAAAATCATCCCTCCCACTGTTCAAAATCCACGTTATGCACCTGAAAATTAAATACAATGCGTGGTAAAATCCATATCCACAAGAAGCCATATATACTATAGGGGAAATTCACTAAAATGTTCAATATTTGCCGCTGAAGACGTAATAAAATTAAAAATGAGTAGGCAACGTACTCAGCGAGTTTCATAATTAATGAAATTAACCTGCTTTGCTCTGGGGAGATCAGTCAGTTTTAAATATGTATATATTGTATATGGTCTCTCAGTTAAAAGCTCTGAGAGATTATATAATATTGAAAATCTCTTATATATTGACTCATATATAGAAGATTAAACGCTATTGAAATGTTGTATGTCAATTAGCCACTATTTAAATGTAGTGGCAACATAAAATAAAATGAGGTTTTGTAACTAGATGTTTTAAAACTAAACCTTAATGTGTTTTTAGTATTTACGTTAACAATCAATGGAAATATTCACTTAATATTGACACAACCAGTATCATTCCACAATTTATAATTAACTCTAATTAATTAATTAACATAACAACTAACTAATCAAAAGCATTTAAAAGACGCTGTCGCCGTTAACTTATTGCAAGGCCGCCGCCGCACGAATTAACTCTCTCACAAATGAAATTTGGTACAGACATGTTAAGTAGTAATCACTCGGACGAGTTCGATAACTAGCCTGATCGGACCATGGTAAGAGGTGGTATAAGAAGGGTTTTATCCCCCAAAAATGGTTTCTTTTGGGTTTTTTACATAGTGAAATTAAAATTATCGAATTTTACTTTTCACCATTGAATTCAGCTCAAAAAAACAAAAAATTTATGTATTTTGGATCATTGCTCTATGTCCAATGGTTACCGAGATATTGATAGCGTTAAACACAGTACGTTGTCCCAATGGTAACCTTATGGGGAATAAATAAAATTCTATATCTCGCTTATTTCTCAACATATCTTAATAAAACTTGGTATGTGGCTTAATCTAGTTGAGATCTACTTTATTATGGTCTAAAATCCCCCATTTTAACATTCTCGTGGCAGAAAGCCTGCATACTCATTTCCCATGTTATTCTTATGGAGAATATTTTTGCATGCTTATTTATGAACACACGTTGGCAAAACTTGATGTGAGGCTCGATATTAACTATTTATCAAAGCATTTGAAATTCGCTGAGTATGCAGGTCTGCTGCAACGGGGGTATTTAAAATTAGAAAGAACCGTATTTTTAAATATAATTGATACTATTGCCGTAACAATCTAATTGACTTCTCACATGCAAAATTTGAATTATTTGGCTCTATCCTAAATGGTATAAACTACGAGTTATTTGAAACGGGAGCACTGACAGAATATGCAGTTCTGAGCGCCGTTTAACGTGTCTATCAGTACACTAGACCTGGCTCCATCTGCTGTAATGCTATTGATATAGGAGTACTCCGTCTATTGGTCTTATGTGGTCGCTGATCTAAGCCAAGTTCGTTGTGCAAAATAATTGGAGCACCCATAACCAATTTTTTGGAGAATTAATGTTAAAAATTTGGGGTTTCGGAGCCCAAAATGGGTATTGTAAGCCCCAAATGTAAATGGCATGTATTTTTTATCGAAGACATTCAATATACAACAATTTTAAGCCCTCTCCCAAAACAATTTTAAGTTATTGCACAAAAAATAACCGATTTATGAACGAACATGTGAATTTACTAAATACAGTATGTTGTATTAAGGGGTTTCGGCACTCTCGGTTTCTGGATCATATCAATGAGAAAAATAAATAACATTACAGCCAAATTGAACTTCGCTTCGCTCACAACAGCGTGCTGCGTGCAAACTCGTTTATTATAAAGAACAATATTCTTTTTTTTTTCATTAAAAATCACTTTGCTTTACAAAGATTACAATTCGTAAATAACAATAAATAAAATATTCTCTTACCTTTCTTTATGTTTAGTTGGAAATCTGAAGAACGATAGGTCCTTGTTCGTAGTGGAGTTATTTGTACAATTAGTGTAGGAACACTTACTACCGTTTTTTGGAGCCATATTAAAACATTAAAAGTGCACTTAGTCTATATGCTTCTATGCATAACTACATAATTTAAAACTACATCATTAACGATACACACTAAACTTTTTAAACTACCCACTGCATTGTTTACACAACCAACTACTTTGTTTACACTATACTGACTAAATTACTAAACTACATTGTACACATAATTTTGTAAGCGATATTAAAAAGCAATAATTTATACAGATAGCGCCAGACGGTCGATCACTGGCTAAGGGAGTTTTGAAGCCAAACTATCTTTTCTGATCTTGATGTGCAGAAGGCAGAAGTGAAAGTGGCACGGAAGAGTTTATGAGTCACTGCCTGTCGGGGCATTGCCCTAGGGCTAGGGGGTTGGGGTGCGGGTGGAATTTTACAAGTTTATAACCAAGCGCTTCCTAGCGGCAGCCGCGCTAAGCTCGTTTTGGCGGCAAGAAACCAGGCTGACTATCCTCCATATGCGTTGCGCTTCTTATAAGGTCTGTATTCATTGCTTCTACCTCGGGAGTCGGGGTGGCATCATCTAACTACCCTCTAAAGAGAAACACATGTCAAGGTAAAATCTGGGGATTATTGTTTAGGATGTCTGAGGCACAAACTATTATAATATTGTCTATGACCTAAAGCTCCACTTTATGTAAATATAATATTTGTAGGTTGAACAAAGTGCAGTGATTCAAACATGCTAGTCCATTTGATCGTTAAGATTTTGTGAATTTAATATCAGCTTCGCCAACAAATCACAACTTAAGAGTCAAACTTTTTTTCTTTTTTTTTCAAAAATGTGGTTGAACAAAATGAAAATGTCACCAATTAATGTCGATTTTACACAGTTTCACCCATAGTACAGAGCACTGCATAGTACAGTATTTTAAATTTTAAATTCAATTTCGAATTGGTGACGTTCAATTTCAATACTAAAAATAAATTTTAGATAAATTTCTTTGCACTCTCTTTCATATTCATGTAAGATCAAAATTGTGGTTGACAGAAATGTAAATGCCAGCAATGTTAACAGTGTTTACTTATGGTCCAATATGTGTATTGGTTGGGTAAAACACAAATGGCCTTCGTACTAGATTCATTTATGGACACTTTTACCTTTTAATATTATTAGTTTTTACTGGATCCTTGTGTTAAACTGAATGAGCTAGTTTATAACATAGACTACACAAATAACGGCGTACAAACTCGCCGTCATGTCTTGAAGTGTTTATTATATTTGTGAAAATCTAATAAAATGTGAATAATGGTCCGAATAGGTAAAACGGGTGGTAAAATAAATAAACCTCAAAGCAAAAACATATTTATTTGCTATTTAGTTATTGGAATTTACTTCGACTTCCAACCTGATGACTATGGGTACTTTTAAAACATTATTCGATCATAAACAATATAATTTTTTGATATGGAATAATCATAATGATGAGTGATAAATGTCAAACTGTGATGGTACAAGTGTGAGAAGTACAGAGTATTGCATCATTTATAGGGGAGGGAGCCACTGGCCAGTAACAGGATGACAATGGTAAGCCAACCTGCA